AAACTGTTACTTCTGTACATATATTTCCTCTTCTCTTATTTGCACAATCCATTGTGATCAAGCTAAATTTATTTTCACCCTCCAGATTATATCATGTTCTCTCCTATATCTAGGCTTTTGGGCACCACAAGGCACCTCCCTTCTTGTTTTCTTCTGTCTTCTACCTTTGAAAGGGAGCCTTCTTTGATAGTCCCAAAACAGGTTAGATGCTTCTCCGTATACAATCAAGTGCTTATAGTACTTGACTTTAATTGCCTGACTTTTCCTTTCTATAAATCTTCCTAGATTCCCTAGGCTTTGTGTTCTCTGAAGGTCTTTGTTGTGTCTAAGTTCCCATAGTAAGCAAATAGAATAGTCACTTAGAGGATCATCACGTCAATGCATGTCAGAAGCAGTGTATTAGAACACACACGTGTCATCCACTTTAGCATCTCACTTTTTACAGATGAGTGACCCATAGCTCCTCAAGTTCTCCAAGCCAGCTGGAGGGAAAATTAGAATGGCCATTCCAGTTTTCTTCCTTTCATATTACAGTTCATACTTTCCTGGCACAGTTCTGTTTTAATAAGGACCAAAGACTTACATTAAAAATTAAAACCTCTAAATATGGCAAAATTTAAGCATCAGTTGAAATATAGAAGCTATAGGTCTTTTCCAGTGACTTCTTCCAAAGTTTATCATGAAAGAAATTTACCTGAAACTTTTGTTTGCTTGTCTGATTGTGAACTTATTTCTGTGACTTTTATAATATCTTTTTGTTGGGATACTAAGGATTGAACCAAGAGCTTTCACACTGAGCTACATCACCAGCCCTTATTTTATATTTTATTTTGAGACAGGATCTCCTTATGTCACAAAGTTCCTTAGTCTAGGCTCAAACTTGTCATCTTCCTGCCTCTGTCGCTCAAAGTACTGGGATTGCATGTGTGTGCCACTATCCCTGGCTAAAATCTCTGGAGAACATAAAAAGGGCAACTATATTTGATAATCTTCCATGTGGCCTCCTTTCTTTTATGTACTTCACATAAGTAACTTACATTACTATTATACAACCCCACAGAAATTGTTTATTATTTTCCTTTTACAGTAGAAAAATGAGGTTTAATTAAATCATTTACCCAGTCCACTCATCCGTTGAAGAGCAGATGGGTAATAGGTACCCAGGTCTGTCTGCTGAAATGCATGCTTGCCTCTATTTTGTTCTGTGTTTGTTTTTCATTTATGCAACTGCGAGTCTAGGGTACACAACACAAAAGATGCCCTTTGTCATTGAGCTGAATAATAGTTCTCATTGAAGAGGCTGAACTTCATTTACTCCTTGACATTTTAAAGGGTTAGGAGCAAAAAAGAAATTTGGAAAACACTTCCTTGTTTATTTCTAAAAATGTGTGAGTGTGTGTGTGTGTGTGTGTGTGTGTTGGATTTGTGTGTATGTGTGTTGGTGGGGAAGAACAGTTTCAAACACTGAATTTATTTTTGAATTTTTAATTGGTGTAGCAGTGTGTAGTCATTTAAATTCCACACTAGACAACTGTGAAAAAGAATACTGTCTACCCAAATTAGGCTACAAAATCTCAAAGAGTTTTGTCAACAAATAAGAATCTTTATTCAATTTTGCTTTGTGGTCTATTATACAAAACAAAATAACCCTCATTCCTTGAAAACCATAAACTGAGCCAGCATTTAATGGTTTTCTTCACTGCCTTGTGTATGTACACAGGAAAGGAAAAAAAATGTCTCAGTACAAAGTTAAACTTCCCTCAGCCTGGATGTCATCAGAAGCTTTTAGAATTTTTGCAAAGGAAATCAATGCCCTCTAAGATTAAAGTTTTGAGTCACACTAAGTCTGCTGTTGAGTGATAACTAAGACTATGCCCGTGTATGTGGACAGAAAATATTGGCTATCCTTAAAGCCTATCTCTCTTGTTCTTAAATAAATAAGAGTGTACTATCCCAATGGTTTACAAATACAACCATATGGCTTCATGCAACTTCTTGGATTTGACCAATCTGCTTCTCTAGAGTAATACACCAAGTAAACTGTGCACACAGTAATGTGCCCTCATATATCTTTAACTATTTTACCTTTTATCTTTGCATCTATTTCCAGTCTTCAGAACCATTATATTCTCCGAGCCAGCCACTTATGCTCCAGGAGACTTAGGTTGGGCTCCATCAGAAACAAACTCTCAAATGTGTACAGAAAGCTTATTGGAGACTAATGTCAGATGGGAGTGAGTGAAGACAGAGGACAAGCCTGAGCGAGGAACTGAATTGTTACATGGTGGTATTAAAAGACTCAGCCTGGCCATGGAGAATTCTGGAATGAGATTATTTCTTCATCGTTGTCCCACCTTAAGGGAAATGGATGATTTTAACCAATTCATGGGCCAATCATTGATGCAAGCTGTTCCCTGAATATAAGTGCAGTTCTGAGAAAGGCAAAGCTCTTGAAAGTTAAGAACTTTTAAATTGAAGGCAGTTTCCAGAGGGAGATTCATTCAAGAACTATCAGCTGCCAACAGGTCCAATACTAGGGGGATGAATACCCTCATCCTGAAGGGAGGACAAGGAATGAATACCAGAGCATGCACTAGTGCATGTAATAGTGTTCATAGTAGGAACCAAGCAATGTGTGCTGGTACGTGACAAAAAACAAAAGCATAAATAAAAACAGAGCCAAGATGTTTATGTCATGACTTCAGAGTCAGGTGGGGGATCTCCCCTTTATCCCAAAGAAAAGAAGAAGGGTTGGGAAAGGGAAGAGGAACTGGGAATGGGAAGCATGACCCTGAAATTTGGCTAGTTTATCTCAAACACGTTCTGTCACCACAATAAGATGATCTAAGAATCTGTAAAATGTATTGGCCAAGTAAATACTGCATGTCCAACCAAACTGAAATCCAAGAAGCTGAGATAAAGAACAGCATAATCTTTGGAAACACTGGAAGCAAGTCATGCCTCTCTCTCTCTCTCTCTCTCTCTCTCTCTCTCTCTCTCTCTGCTGAAAATTAAACCCAGGGCTTTTCCACTCAGCTAGATCCCTAGGCCTTTTCTTTTTGAGACAGAGTCTTGCTAAGTTTTGTAGGCTTCACTTGAACTTGTGCTCCTCTTCTCTCAGCTTCCCAGAGGTCTGGGCGCATAGGTGTGCACCACCATGCCTGGAGACGTCATACATGTCTTGAAGACCGGAGAAATATAGTGTGAAGTTGGTAACTTCTAAAATCATGAGAAGGAATCTACCTTCTTATCTTCCTCCTCATTAACAGTAGAAGTCCCTCTTGGCAATTCTTAGGACTGATGTCACAGCCCCCCCACATCACTTCTGCCAGGACTAGTTTAACATGTTTCCCTTTTTCTGTGAAGGTCTCACTACCACTAAACTCTGAATTTCCAAGCTTCCCTTCTTTCACCAGAGTGTTCTACCATTTAAATCCAAATTTGCCATTTCTCTACAAAAAGCACCATATTACTCTCTTGAAATATTTGCAGAGAAATCAAAACTAGCTCCCTTGTGTCTCTCCTAACAATTTCCTTACATGCACACATCCACACACTAGATTCTATCAATACTGAATGTTCATTTATTTAACATTTATGTTATATACTCTTATGGCTTGGATCTAGATGTCCTCCAAAGCATCACATGGTCATAGGTTGGGCTTTTCAGAAGTGGCTGGATTTAGAGTGTGTAATTCTGGGGTTAAGGGTGTGTGATTACCAGATCAGACCACTGATTGGTTTGGCAGCCTAGATTGGATTGGTAGTCTAGATAGAATATAAAAGGGACAGAAAGATGCTGCCTTCATTGTAGGTCACTTGCTTAATTTTGCTACCTTCTGCCTGTCATGGACTGTTTCTCCTCTGTGATGCCCTCTGCCTGCCACCCTGCCTTGGAACCAGCTGACTATGAACTGAAACCTCTACAAACTGTGAACCAAATAAACCTTTCCTCCTTTAACTTTGGGTGTCCAGTATTTTGTCTTAGCAACAAGAGAACTAAGACATATACACATACAGTACTATTGGAGACAAAAGGGGATAGTAAATAAGATGAAGAAAAATACAAAAGGTTTTTGAGAGGAGCTATTCTTTTTCTTCCTGGAATGTCATTTTGCTCTGAATGAGGTACACATTTATACATTCCTCAACAATCAAGCTCACATATGACACATTTCATAAGTTGTAATTGTTTTTAAATCTCATTTTTCATCCACCCAAATAAGATAAGCAATTTCTCCCTGCCTTGGACAATTACACTGCATGTGTATATACAGTGATAGTGTACTATATATTGAAATTTTAAAATATTTTTGAATGTTTTATTATGTAATATATGACCTGTATAAAATCATACCTGTTGTATATATAAGGAGATATATATAGATATATAGATATATATATAGATATGCACATACATATACCTGTGTTTATGTAAGCTGAAGAATTAAAATAAATAACTATGAATCTACTACCACATGTAAGAACTAGAACACTATCACTTTTACTGTTTGTACCTACAGTCTGTGACATTTCCTTGGTCTATATTTTCATTTCACACCAATGGTATCACTATCCTGAAATTTGTGTTTATAATCCCCTGTGTTTCGTTTCTGTAGTAAGTCTATGTGCTTTTATTCTTAAGCAATATATTATTTCCTTTGCATTATTTTTAGGATTTGAAATTATAATGTAATCATATAATTCAGTAGTGAAAATGAATAAATTTTAATGACATAAAACAGCATTCATGAATGGTAGAAACACAATATTGAATAGAAAAGCAATTAGAAAGAGATCATACATAGTATAGACCATTTTAATTTCAATATATTTAAATTAATTTTACACTTACATCTTTTCTACTAGGTTATAAGCTCCTTGAGGAAAAAATTCACTTTAGACTTATACCTATAATTTTGATATTTCCCTAGAACCTAGAATTGTGTTTAGAACATCAGAGTCAATAAATATATATTTCTTGAATTAAGTTGGACCCATTAATCCATGTTTATTCTTACTTCTGATTATCTCCTGGATTCTAGACTGACATTTCCTATTTTGATGTGGCTTCTGACATTTGTCTCCTTCCAAATCTAATATTGCTCTATGTAATATATTTTGAGATGGCACCTATATATTTCCCTATGTCTAACCTTATATTAGTGCTATTTATAGCTTTCCTACTCCAATGTTAAGACTAACTAATAAAAGAAATGTATGAACAATCTGTTCTTTGAGTTATAGAGCACTTGTTTGTCTTTTCTACTAGTAATGCTTGATGTGTTCTAGTATCATAAATAATTATTCTGAAGAGTACACTGACTCAAGTGACCTAATAACCTAAGCCCTTCATTTTCAATGTGTTAGTTTAACAACAGGAACAGCAATGCAATGCAATTCTCCTTAGAAACAGCTGACCTTTCCCAGTTAGTGAAAGGTACCTAGAATAGTTCCATTATTTAGAAGGGACTATGCAGATTACCATTCCAAAAAACCTTACCAAGTGCAAGCATTGCTGCTGAAGTACCACTATCATATATTCCCTCAGCTTCAACTTGAATGGTTCCAAGAACATAGAGCACACAATGTCAATGTTTCCTTATGGAAGGGCTCAGAAAACAATGAATGCTTGAAAGCTGGACTTCCATTTGAATTCTTGCTCCATTGGGAAATTAACCAAAGCTTAAAATCTCACAGCTTCAGTTACCTCTTCTATAAGGTAATGTGAAACATCCACCAACAATTTGACCTACATATATTGGGTCCTCACAGAATGTTAGTATGATTTATTGTCCATTTCTTTATCTGAATGGAAGCCATTGTAGTATGTGATAGTTTTTGTGAGTTTTCCCTTTTAAAGCTGAGCAACCTCTTCTTTTCTCTCTCTTCCTTAAATGATGTGGTACCCTTTTTCAGTAATGCTCCAATCTCATGTGGTCTTTCTTTCAAAAATTATGACATCAAGTTCAATCCCTGGTACCAAAAAAATAATTATGATATTGGACATTCTGTGGTTCCTTCTGCATACTAGTCTTCTTTCACTCCTATTCCCTCTGCCAAATAACTAATATTTATATTAAGTTAATAATAGTTAATAATAATTTGAAGGAAAATTTCGCTACTTGTAACTCCTTTGCCCCAAAGTTGGGCTGGAAACCTTTTCAACCACAGATAAGTGAGGAAAGGAAAGCAAGAGGAAGTTGAGAAATGCAGCATAAAATGTACAGGACTACAAACTAGAAAGGTGTTCAAATCCAAGAACTGGTAGCTTCAGGAAGGGTATCCTCAAATTAGTCACTTTCACTTTCCTTATCTTTATAAGGAAGTTGACATTCTGTGTGTATTCTGGGTTTATCCTGAGGATTAAATTTAAAAAAAAAACATTAAAATCCTTAAAGGTCTCCTAATCATTTTGTAGAGACTTAGAAAGTTCCAGTTATATGATTATTATTTGCTACACTATGTACTTCTAGTGAGATAACATCAATAAAGTGAACTACAAATAAACCAACATATATTCAACATATATTCTTATTATTCCAGTTAGTTAATCAAGCTTGCTCTCTCTCCACCTGGCTTCATCTAAGAGTAGCTAAACACTGCCTTTTTTTTTTATAGTCCCTTAGATTTGATTCCAGGGAGGCATACCTCTTCTATCTGTGCACTCACACCAATATACTTGATACTTGTGACAGCATTTTTATATCTGCATCTGTATCTGTATCCACACTTATACATTACGGCATTTAAGTCTTTAATTCTTTCTTGAGAAAGATAATTTTGTGCATCAGAGATGTTTAACAGTATCCTTCTTCTCTACTCACCAGATAATGTTAGTTAAGACCAGTGCTAACTACAAAAACATCTTCAGAAATTATCCAGTGTCAACTGGAAAATAAAACCTGTCCCCATCCTCTGCTGAATATCTCTAAATTGCTATCCATATCCATATCCATATCGATATACATAGCTACATTTGAACTAAGGAGTAACCTTGATTGGTTTTCACCTATGTTAGGTACAAGGCTCAGTAACATATGTTATGTGATTTAGTTTTTAGTACAATCCTCAAGGCCATTAAGTGTGCTAATTTTGGCACAAGGAAGGTACATCTCAGAGAAATAGCTTACAACAAAATCCAGTGTGACACATGCACATTTCCTTGCACCGTGTTACCTGAAAACTTCTGAGTGCAAGTTACCTGTTGTTTTCACATTTCCACCCCTTGCAACAGGGCCTATCAGGGAGTAGTTGTACGATAGTATTTAAAAATGGTGAATCATAAGGAATAATCTTAGACTTCTTCTAGAAGCTTACATTTCCCTAGGGCTGAACATTTTCCAGATTTACATTACCTCTGAGTTGCCTACTTATTCCTTAACCTTGGTCTATTTATATTAGGCATGTAAATGGGATGTAATTGTATTACTTAAGTGAATTATTTAATAATATAATTGTGCTAATCTTTCTGTCTGCCTTCAAGTTTTGGCATCAGAGTATAATGGAAATTCATGAGCTTTCAGAATCCAAAAGATGTTAAATTTAAATTCTAACTCCATGCCTAACTGCCTATGTGGCATTTTCTTCAAAAACTCAACATTTCTATGACTGATGCAAAGAATACAAAGAAAATAAAACCAGAAGAACCTTGACTTTCTAGAGATTTATACTCTAGGAAGGTGGAACAAAACTCAAGAAGATATTAATTCAAATAGGAAGATATAGCATTAAAGTCATATTAAACATACAGGGACAAAGGGAAGCACATAAAGAGAGGAGAAAATCCCAGGACAAGCAAATACAAGCACCTTCAGCTTCCTGAGTCTCGATTTCATTATTTGTGAAATAGAGACAATTACATCTGCTTCATAGGGTTGTTGAGAGCATTAAGAGAGACAGTACTATAAGATATTTATTATGATTTCTGGACAGATGTAGATATATGGCCATTCCCATTGTCTATATTTCCTATATGCCATAGGGAAACTAGAGGAGGAGGAATTTTCATAGGTTATAACGTTAGCTGACTTTTCTCTTCCTCAGATACTCAAAGGAAATCTTCAAATGTTTCTTCATTACAAATTCCCCAAGGAAGATGGGTAGGGTTCTGCATTCTATTTCAAAAATGTACAAATACTTTTAAAAGAAAAAGAAGATATCTTCACCAGCCTATTATGACCTTCTTCTTTTTCGCTTAAAGAAAGAAAAGAAACAAAAATACTGCACAGCCTGAACATTCTAAGGGCTCTGCTTTCTGTTCTTCTCAGTGACAGTAAATACCAGAACAGAATAGAAACAGGGGAAAGAAAAATCAAATCCGAAGAGCTTTACACATCTTTCTGAGCCTCTGTGGAGAATTCTAAAGGACCCTCTGCTATTCAAACTGTCTCACCAACTGCCCTCTGAGACCTCTACCTAAGACCATGTTCAGCATTTTTATCTCCAAATGTCCTTTGTCATCAAGATAAGTCTTCATTCCTCTTTGCAATGACAGCAGAGATATGGGTAGATGAACAATTTTTCCCCACTGAGCTTCAGAAACTCACTTTTAAAGCACTTCCATAATTCTCATTGTGGCCTTGAGGTTATGAAGTCTCATTGTCCCTGATCTTGGTCCTTCTCAGCTTCCATGACCCCTGAAGAAAAAAGGTCAGTGGCTGACACTCTTTCATTCAAAAAACATTTACTGAGCACTTGCCCGGTACCAGGTATGATGCTGGGCTATAGAGACACATCAAGGATTGATTCACTCAAGAAATAACAAGGGAAATAAAGTCTACTTTTTTCATTCCAATGGCCTTATTTTTTCCTTTTTGGAAAGCGGTCAATACAGAATATTGAAAACATATTTAGCAAATTCTATATTTTATCTTTACCTCATTAACTCTTAAGTAGTCTCTGAGTGTCATAATATGGAATCCAAAGTGCTATAACTCCAGTATGTATTTATGAGACTAGCTTGAACTGAAGTTCACATGAAACAATTTCTATTGCTAGAGAAAGGATTTGTCTACAATTTATGTTTCCTAGTTTATGTTACAAAACAAACAGAAATACCCACTTCAGGTGTGAATGGACCTTATAGGTCATGATTAGTGGAGACTGTTTTCAAGTGACATCACAAATCTTCACATCTCAAGGGGAGTTTATTTTGAAGCGATGTTCAATGGCTCCTCTTTGGTCTGTTCTGAACACACACAAACCCAAACAGGTGTGTCCTGCTCTATATTCATGTTTCTTCCCTACATAGTACCTTTAGTGAATACAGTATTGTAATTTAGTGATATTCACTGAATTATTTCTTTAGAAAGCACCAGTTATTCAATTTAGAAGACTCAGAGGAGTTGAAGAATAACCTTAAGTTTGGCTTAAAATTCCAACAGTTAACATATCAAATGCCTTGCATATTTGAGATGATGACCACAAGAGGCATCTGGAGTTTGACCAATGGATAGGCCTTGGAGAAGAGGAAGTACTAATCAATATTTAAATAGTTAATCAGGATAATTTCAAGGAATATGAGTGCTATAAAGACAACAAAATAGGATATTGAGATAACAATTTTGCTTTATAAAGATATAAAGGCATGACCAATAGCAGATGAATGAAACATGAAGGAGATTAATTCTGTCTTCTCTGGGTAACTTTTTTAAACATCTAATGCTATCTTTCTATCTCTAATGGCATTATATCTTTTCTCCAAGTCTCCAGTTTCTGTTCAAATGAATGAAAGTATGGACAAGGTCAACCTTCAGTTCTAGCTAGGACACTCACATTACTAAATTAATTAAACTGTCACTCAGTTCTTGTTTGTAAATAAAAAGATTCCTGAATGTTTTGGGATCTAGAAGTACTTCCATCTTCATCTGTATTCATACATATAAAATAAATAAATAACAGTGTTTGGCACAAAATAGACACATGGTATATATTTTATTCTCCATAAGGAACCCTAACTTTAATTTCAAACAAGTCACACTAAAATCATGAAGATGAAAATAAAGAATATACAAAATTTGAAAATGTGTAATTTACTGTAAGCACAAGAACTATTAATTGTCAGTGATGGTTCTCATTAAACTAGCAGCATATGTTGCTATTATAAGGGTTTTTGTCATGAGCTCCTGAGAGGTCTATTAACAATAAAATCCTATTATTCCAGATGTTCCATATCCATGTAATACATCCACAACAATTAATTTCATATGGGCCAAATTCATAAATTTAGAAAACTAGAAAGACATGTTATTCACCACAGAAGGCATCTTATATTCTATTTATAATCAGACTGAAATGCTAAAAACTGCCATTAATTACAGGGAAACCCACTATCATTTTTCTTTATCTGTAGAATGGACTTTGAATTTGTAAATAATCCATTACCATTATAAAGGCAGCATCTGAGCAAGCAAAGGAAAGAGAAAGTTGCTGCCACATCTGCTGCCAGGGCCACAGCCAAACCTCCTCAGTGTCCTCCTTGCTGCCGCCTTCTTTTTCCCTGTCCCTGGCCTTGGTCAAACTCCTGCTTTGTGCCAGAAACTGTGCTAGGTGCTTTACATGACCACAACTCATCTTCTCAACAATGCTTGTTGGTTCATCTCCCCCTTGTATAAAGTCTGCCCTTTATAAAGATCCAGGCTCAAAGAAGTTAAATATCTCATCCAAAGTAACAGCTCCTAAAGGGAAGAGACAGTATTAGAGCTCACACTGATAAAACACTGAAGCCTGATCTCTTCTTGCAATACCAAGCTGCCTATCCAAGGCAATAATAAAAGCTTTCATTACAGTATACTTAACCCAGCTTTTCATTCTGCCATGGGGAAATATGAAGGGATTGTGTAACACAGAGTCTGAAAGTCAACTACCACAACTGACATTCAATGCCAGGATCCTTTTCAAGCAGACTTGACAAATAATGAAATGATCACTCAAAATTCATTAATCTATATATCTCTTGAAGGCAAAGATTCATCTTCTTCTATGTTCCTAGCACCTGCCATGCACTGTGGTATATAGAGTCAATGTTTATTGAATGACTATTTATCACATTACTGGAATGTACACAATTTGGGCCATAGGATAGTAATTCAACAGGTAACATTTTCAGTTCCTAGTAAATGTGGATAAATACAGTATCTGGAAGAGCTCATTTATTCCTTTCAAACTTGAGACTAGAATCTGCTGGAACAGAAATAGAATCATGTAAATAATAGCTATGCTAACAATTAACATTTATTGAGGATTGGCTATATGTCAGTCATTAAGCTAAGATCTTTGAATTATATACATGATTAATTCTCATAACAACACTGAGATAGAGTCTTTTATTACTCCTGGACACAGGTCATTTAATAAAGGTAATAGCACTTGGAAGATATGGAGCCAGGTTTGAAATAACTGCTATGTGACTTCAGAGCCTGTGTCACAACTATACTGAATGCCTTTTATGAATTCAAGTTATTTATTTAATGGGACACTGTAGAATTGTGAGTTATCTACCTGTTTGTACTTTGACTATTAAATATTCCTATAACATGGGAACATTAGCTAGAGATAAACTGTTTTGTACCTCGCTTTACAAATCAGGAAACATCAGAATTAAAATCACACATCATCCAAAGTAGCTGGATGGGCTGGAGATCTCAGGGTTAAAAAATCTGACACATGCTATCACCTTTCTTCTTACTTTGGACCATGATGGGTGAGAGTGTAGTATAATGGTTTGGAGCTTTGGGTTCTAAGTAAAAATGGAGCTAAGTTCAAATTCAGCTCTGATGCTTACTGGCTGAAATCTGGTCTGGTTCATGATTTCAAATCCCTTACATATAAAATGTGCTTGGTTACCATAACTGTGTATATGAAAGGATATCAGGAAAAATGAACAAGATAATACAGGTAAATTTTTAGTGCAATAAGAGTTAAAAGGTCTGAGATATCAAGTAGTTGATCAATAAAATTTGTACAATAAAGACACAGATGAATGAATGAATAGAGTGTATAACGGACAACAATCAATATGTTCATGAAGTAATCTCCCCTTTGTTTTTGTTTTTTTTCCCTTTGTTTTCTTTCCAAGTGACGGCATAAAAAAGAGACTCATGTTTTGCAGCAGTTTCGGAAAATCGACTCATTTACAGAGCCCATCCTACCAGTCCTATTTCCAGTGCTCACACTAATCACTGCTCTACTTGGGCCATGAGTGAAGAGTGTAACAGAGACAGGAATATATCCCCCTGACTTCATGAAAGATAATCAAAAGTAAGTTGAATAAAAATGAATGTAAATAAATAATTAAGGTATCTGTCTTCTACTTTCATGTTTATAATATTTTTCAGAAAGTAACTTCTAGAAACTGTCACCATTTTGCTTATTTGACTTTACATGTGTTGCTCAGGGTTTACATACCCATTAGGGTGCCGTTCTCACTACCATCCTGCTATGGTAACTGGGATGTATTCCTTTCAAGATGAGGAAGCTCACACTTGAATTATTTACATGAATTGACCCAGTTCACATGATCAAAAGGAACAGAGGAAGAATTTCATCACTTTTTTTGCTCTTATCTAAACCCCTACCATATCTTGCCGCTGGTCTCAGAATAAAATCTCAAATCCTTTCCGTGAACAACAGGCTCCTGCCAACTCATTTCGCGCCACTCTCTTCCTAGCTCATTGTTCCTCATGACATGATTTTCTCTCCAAAGGAAGGTGCTCAGCTCCCTCCACCTCCGAGCCAGGGAGGAAACAGGCTTTCTTCAGCACAGGCACCTTGGGGCCCATCAGCAGGCAGAGGGCACAGCCTCCACGCAGAAGCTGTGAAAAAGTCTGTTCTACAATTCTATTGAGGTATCTTTAGATCCAAATATTTGGGTCACTGGGGAGTACTAAGATCACCTAGAAAGTAACCATGGGATAATAAAACTTAGAGCCAATTTTTTTTTGAAAATTCTTATGCAAAGATCCAGGGAAGCAAACTAACATCATTCAGCTCCTGATAGATGATGACTTCTTGACTTTAAATTGGAGGCCCTTTAGGAGAAAATAAATTTGATAGAGTAAAAAATAAAAAGCATACAGGTTACCCAGATTTTCAGTAGCAAGTTGATGTTTAAAGCACAGTTTACTTGGCTCTACAATTTATGACATTTCCTGTGCAAGTGTGTGACTTGAAACCAGGGTTTCTTAGTGAGGGCTATTTTAATTTTCTCACTAAGAACAAGACTGCTTAAGAATATAGGAATGAAACTAACAGTAAAGCCTTGTGTCAAAAGGACAAACCTCAGAGGACTGGGAGCCAGAAGGTCCCTGATGGAAAATGGTTTCGGAGAGAATATATTATTCATAAAGATTATGGAAAAATATTGCTTGAATCAAATTGTATATCTCCACTGGCTTTAACTTATTATTAATTAACAAGTCCTACTTAATAAAAAGTATTACTCTATCTTTAATGTACTATTTTAATTGTTAAAAATAGTAGGATGTAATTATATCTGAAAGATTTGTCATCCAAAGATGACTTTTAGTGAATTATCTAAAGGTTCATGCTAAGAAAATCTACTAAGAAATGTAGCACACAGATTAGGCATCAAGTAAAGCAATGTAGAGGAAGCACTGTTTAGGTTTAAAATCAAAGG